ATATTCAGGCCACAGACCACATCACGCGTTATAAACTGCAGGTTTCACGCACACTGGGATGGACTTGGATTGTCAGCGCTTGAAATCTCTGAATGGCTAGAAGAAAGGCGCTGTGTGCTGGGAAGTTCAGACGGTGTTAGAGTGCTGGCCTGCCCACAGTTCTAAGCAGAGCGAGATTGGAGGGGGTGCTGTGGAGCCGTGGCTTGGTCCGGGCCAGCAGAACGCCAGCACACGAGCAAACACGTCACAGAATGCGCCGTCCAGGCACTCTCCCCGCCTTCGTTTCTTCCAAGCGGCTTTCTTTTCCCGCCCAGCTGACTTTTCAGGGTGACTGAGGTGTGTTTGTTGTGTGTGTGCGTGTCTGGTCTCAGCAGGGCATTAGCTGAGAAGGTGGCCTTGCACACCTGTCCAGGGACTCCTCTTGGTGCCGAGCGAGCGCTGGCCCTTACCCGGCCCCACAGGTTGGGACCCTCGGCCCCATCTGTCCGCGTTTATCTGACCGGTATGGACCAATCTGGATATTCAAAAGAATTACTTTAAAAAGAGATTGTTAGGTTTACCTCCCCGTTTTCTTAGTCACAGGGCATTTCTAAGTAACGAATTATTTGCGTTAAGTAAGTGAACCAGCCCCAGGTTCTCTGCACCACCATTTCCGTGAAGCCTTTTAAAGCAACAAAGATGTATCTTGCTTTATTTGAACTGAATACGAGATGATATAAGTTCACAAAATAATGCATTTTTTAAAAGTATTTTCCCTTTTTGGGAAAACTGGCTTAGCCTCCCTCTTATTAAAAGAAAAGGTTTTATTTTTCTTCCTTATTTAAGTAGTACGCATTCAGCCTAGGTGTGTAATTAAATACAGAAAAGCAAAAAGGGTTAGAATCACCCGTCGTCTCCAGCGAGCCGAGACGGCCAGCGTTCCTACTTTGGTGCAGGCCCTCCAGGCCTCTTCTCTACACGAGTCCGTGGGCGTTTCTAGCAGGAAGTGCGGCGTCTCTTTGCGCACGGTTGTCTCGGTGCACTTAGAGCTGCTTGATTCTGTGCGCGAAGTGCTCTCTGAGGAAGGGTCGCCAAAATGCCTCTGCTGCTTTCAGATGGTGAAGCTGGGGACGACTTGTATTCCTACCACGTGAGTGTTTTTAGTGAGCTTGTGTCATTTTCTTGGAGACCAAAGGTGTGCACTTAATGTTTTGTTTGCGGAGAGCTGTGATTCTTCAGCGGGCGTCCACCCACCCGCCGCTCCTCAGGTGTGGACGGAGCACCTGCTAAGCGTTAGATGCTCAGCGCCGAGAGCTGGGTCGGCTCGAGGAAGGCCGGGAAGCTGCTCCCCGAGCGCCCGGGGCCTGGCGGGAGGCCTGGCCTGGGCACCTGTCGTCTACTGCAGAGACGTCTGCAGAATTGACTGCGGGGGCCTCGGCAGAACCTGAAGGCCTGGTGGGACCCCGGGTGGGGCGGGAGGAGGCTGAGCGGTGGGGGCTGCCCGGTGCTCCCAGCGGGGGCCCGCTGAC